GAACTGTAGTCGACTATGTGGGAGTCCAGCGACATAGCCATTATGCTAACTGCTGGTCCCGATTCTAGGTATTTTTAATGCTAAGCTGACACTCCAACTTCTGTTAAAATCATGAATATTGGGGACCAGCAGTTACCGTAATGGCTATGTTGCTGGACTCCCACGTAGTCGACTACAGTTCGCGTCCCAGACCCGGTGGCTTAAAATTCACGCCGGGCGCATGTGCGTGTGTGCCCAAGATCCCGAGAGGAGAACGGAGGAGAAGGGATTGTGGCATGGCCATCCCTCCTGGGGGGCGATTTCTCACTTTCTGTCTCTCTGTCTCTCTCTTTCTGTCTGGTGAGTGCACGTGCCCTATAGCAAAAACTTCTCCAAAAAAAAAAAGAATCATGAATATTTAAAGCAGAAAGGAATCTTAAATATTACATATTAAACTCTAAGCAAAGAAAGGAAGACCCAGAGAACAGAAGTGATCCTGGAGAAACAAACTATTTAGGGCTATTGCTCTATCCCAATGGTCCTGCTGTCTCCTGATCTAGAGATCTTTCCATTATACTTCTCTGCCTGGGGGCTCATGCTTCGTAATCTTGGGCACAGAAAATGGAATTCCTACTCTGCAAACTATAAGGGCTTCAGAGAACTACTCGAAGGGAAAATGGAGCCTTCTTTAATATATGTTTATTTTTTAAGGAAGAGGCATCAGAGAAAGACTACAGAGTAGTGATATGGCATATCAGAGTTCTCCAAAGGACAGCTGACAAATGATATGGAATGAGAACTAAATGAGGAAGATATTGGAATACAGCTGTCTTCTACCAAACCACATTAAAGAAATATGCATAAATATACAATTCCTCTTTTGCTATTTTTATTTGTGTTGGGAAGATATGCTCATTTTTCATAAAAACATGCTATTATGTTAACATATAATGGGCTTATTACTAAGTTTTGGTGAATTAATAAATATTTAAGGGCTGGCCTTTTAACACAGTGATTAGACACTGCAGAGGAAGCCAGATCCCATATGGATGACCAGGATTCGAGTCCTGGCCCCGTCAGTGTGCATGCCCAGGATACTGATGAGGGATGCCTTTTCTCTTGAACATGTATGTACCCACAAGGATAAACAATAAATAAATAGATAAATAGATATTTAAATTTTATTTTAATGTTTAACCCAGTAAATATCAATAGTTATAACCCACATAAACACAATTTATTATCATAAAGAGTTTTTAAGAGTATAAAGGAACCTTGACACCAAAAAGTTTGAGAATCAATACTATAGAATAATAAGAAGGAAATCAAAGACTATGCATTTAACATTATTTCTACCCCAGTATATTTTGCCCTTAATTCTTTTAATTATTAATCATTTTTAAAATTACTACTACTGGGACTAGATGACAATGTAGCAGTAAAGCAACATTTTGTGAGGCTTCTTCACATGAGGGTACTAAGTTTATGTCCAGAGACCTCCCTGAATATGCTGGGAACACATATGCCCAAGATCTGGGGCTAGCTGAAGCTAAGGGTAGATTGTGGTGTCAAGACACTTTTAGGGGTGCCTGTTTCTCTCTTTCTAGCTCATTTATAGAAGAAACTAAAAGCAAAACAAAAAACCCAAAAATTGCTTCTTTTTGTCAATTGCTGAAAACATGTTTCTTTCAATGTTTATTATTAGTTGCTAAAAGCAATGTTCTAGTCATTTGCTTTTTTCAATAACATAGTATATATGCTATTGACATAAAAATATTTAAATTCATGTTCTCAGTGGTTAATCATTATCATTTAAAAAAATGCTTCAGAAATTAATGACACTTGGTAAATCACTCTTACCTTTATGATATCTGGATTATTGGCTAGTCGTAGTACTTTGCATGCCTTTGCTAATCCAATCCCACGCAGCGATGAGAGATAGTCACAGCCTGAAAGAATGCACATATAACGGAACTTCTCTTCTGTGAATACATCCCCAAGCTGTTTGCACATTCCCAGCCGAGCCTGATCGATTTCTAGTCCATTTCCAAACTGGTCCATTTTTAAAATTACCTTCAAAAAACAAAGACAAATATCAATACCTCAAGAGGCCACCTGTCAATTTCTAATCCAGTACAATAATTCTAAGAAATCTTTCTTGTTCTTCATCATAACACTGAGATAGGAGGGCAGGTTAATGATTACTAAACTTGCTAATGGATCAAACTGAAGCACTGAGTATGACTAGACAAGGTTATATAGCCAGGACTTGACTGTCTTGACACTTACATAAAGAAATCTTTCTGTACCTCGTTATTTACTTCCTCTGTTACAGGGTTGCCCTGATAATCAAACGGCAATGCACACAAAGCATTTTCTCCTTACCTTCCACTCTTACATTTTAAAGTACCCTTTTTCTTATTATTAATGTAATATACCTGTTGTAGAAAATTTGAAAACAGAAATTCAGGAAGAAAGAAAACAGAGGTTGCCCTAATACTTCATTTATCACTGACACTCAGCATTAACTTTTTGATATAAATCCTTATGATCATCGACAAAAATATAGATAATATACATAATTAGATATTATAAAAAATGAGACTATAATACTTTTCATCTTAATTTTTTCCCTCAATATAACATGATAGTTTTCTATTAAACAGTTTTATACATAATTCTAAATAACTACATAGTGTCTTGTTAGCAAATAGTTTATCTAATTATAATGCATATGTTATCAATATTAAAAAGTAAAAAAAAAAAAAAAATCTTTTTTTTTGAGAGGTTTTTGCTATAGGTGCATGCACTCGCCAGAAAGACAGAGAGAGAGACAGAGAGACAGAAAGTGAGAAATCACCACCCAGGGGGATGGCCACACCGCAGTCCCTTCTTCTCCATTCTCCTCTCAGGATCTTGGGCATGCATGCACACACACCCGGCGTGAGTTTAAGCCACCAGGTCCGGGACTTGAACCGTGGTCGACTACATGGTAGTCCAGCGACATAGCCATTACACTAACTGTCGGTGCCAGTAAAACTTTTTTATGGCTGAGTAGTATTTCATAGTGTATGTGTGTCACACTTTTTCAATCCATTCATCTGTTCATGGGCATTTGGTTCCATGTCTTAGCAATTATGAATAATGCTGTACTAAATATCAATGTGTGAGCACTTTCCTGACTAAGGATTCTTCTGTCCTTTGGGTAGATACCAAGGGGTGGGATTGCTGGATCATATGGTAGTTCAATATTCACTTTGCAAGCTAAGTGACTTATGTGATTGAATGTATAAAAGAAATTGAAAAAAATTAATAAAAAACTACATACAAAATCAAACACTGAGCTAGAGCTAAATAAAAGGAAAACTGTCAAGTCTATATTCTACTAAAGGATTTGGACAAAAACAACAAAATGTACAACTTTAAGGGCTTACTTTGAAATAAAATTGTTATTATCATCACAAAAACACAAAGGGACTTTAAAAGTTCATAGAAGATGGAATCAAATTACAAGTTTCTTCTAGCATAAAAATTTTTGAAGTCCATGCAATGATACATATCTCCATGAACTTTTGGAAGATCCTTTAATAGATGTTAACTGCAGACAGTAAATAAAATAATTATAACCGGAGTGGGAAAACATTAGCTCCTTTACTTGGACTACTTCTGTCTACACAGAAAAGTAATACATAGTAGTTGCAGTGAAGTACCTTTTTACAGCCAAAGGCTAGGAGATCAGAGTCTTCTGTAATAATAGCTTGTACAATACCCGCTTTGTTAAGATAGGCCAGCTGCGCATCAGCTTCATATGGAGCCACGAGGCAATCTACTCCCTGAGACCGAGCAGCCTGTTAGAGAGATCATAGAGTATCTCCAGCATAGCATCTGGAAAGCACTGAACAGCCTCCTGATTCAAATCTACTATGTTATCAGTGTCAATATGCACATGCTAATAAAATTTTAGAAATCATTTACTTTGAAGTAGAGCTCTTCTACTTTTAGTTCTAGTATATGCTGAACTAGTCATATGGCTACTAATAAAGATCTTGCTACTATCAATTTTGGTGACAATATGCAATCTGCTATTTTTATAGCCCAACAAGTGTCCTACTCTTATCCTTCTGCATCACTATTTGAGCCAAGTCAGGTTTTTCCTCCACTTCTGCACACACTGCAGTCTCTTCCCATAGCATGAAGACCATACGCTTTCTCTTACACTTCACACCCTCTCCTGTGTCCCATCCTTTTCTTTGACCTTGGCTCATACATAAAGTGCTAAGTAATGCCTATATGATAAAGAACCAAAATAAGGATTATACTGCTTATTTTAGCACAGGGTCTGAATGGCAACATTGGAATTTAGAAAAGACTGATCCTACCATTACCACCACGCCTTTACCAAGCAGTGTGAATGTGCGCCATAGAAAAGGAAAGGTGAGAGCTGGAAGTGTGGACATGATGACGTAAGATTTGTGGTGTTAAAGTAGCTTCTACACAGATGAGGAAGAAGAATAGGAGGTGGCAATAATTCCTGAGGCAGTGAGGCTGGTTTGATAGATCTCTGACCATAATTCAAGAGTGCAGGTTATAGGGCCAGATGGTGGAACATGATAACACAATTCGACCCACATGGGAAGGTCCTGGAATTGTGTTCTGAAGCCTCCCTATACACAGCAGGCAGATGTGTGCTCATGTTCTTGGTGGGTTAAGGCTAGCGGTGGATAGGTGCGAAGATACTGTGGAGGATGCCTGTCTCTCTCGTGAAAGAAAGAAACAAACAAACATAGCACAGCACCAGGAACATAGTAAATGCTGATACATGCTAGCTATTATTAATAAAATAAACAAACTTTAAAAAAAATGTAGCATTAATTTACAAGAGTGAAGGTTATAGTAAATGTTTAAGATATTCGAGAGTGGAGTGAGACCAAAACTTCCTGGAATTTGTTCCTTCCATCTTTATGAACTAACATGCCCATGGTCACCTATCCAAGTCACTTATCTCCAAAGAGAGAGCTTCTCTTATTCCTTGGGCTCTCTCCCTGGCAGATTACTAGACTCCTTTCTATCTTTCTGACATCTACCTTTTACTTGAGGTGAAGCCCAGAACAACTTGCTCTCTTGATTTTCTTGCTCTCCCATTTATAAACATGTAACTAGCTTTAAAACTTAGCTATCTTCTCCTTTGGCTTCTTTTCTATTTGCTTACTTTAATTACTTGGTGGGCCATAGCATGCGTGATATTGACAGAACGGGTAAAACAGTCACGGGCTTCTGAGATTTTCCCCTCACGAAGAAGTTGTTTTCCTTTAAGAAGGTTGGCTTGTCGTCTTCTGCAAGGAAAGAATATTTTTTAAAGAAAAGTTTGACTCATATGGAAATGCACACCAGCTCCTTGAGAATATTAACCTGCATCCTCTGAGCCTCTAGGTAAAAAGAAAACACACACACATACACACAAAAACACACACAAACTTGTCATCAGACTTTTCCACAGCAAGGGCTTACATCCAAAAACATGCACTAAGTTTTTATTTTTTTAAGTATGATAAAATATCCAGCATATACGGAATATGGAAGGAAAGTTGTTCATGTATACAAAACTTCTTGCTTGTGTACTAATAAAGCGAATATGTTTTTGTACTATTCAAAAAACAATCCTCAATAAATTAAAGTATTCAAATAATGGTGTAAAAATCACAGCATCTGACCTTAGCACAATCAAGTTGGACATTAAGAAAACCATCAACTTACTCTCTTCTAGAGCTCTCTACTTCCTTTTTAGAAGGTAAAGTACATCCATCGAATACAAGAATAGGCTTGATCCCATGAGACAGTAACATATTAACAAATTTCATACAAAATCCTACATACCTATGAAAAAAGAAAAATAAATTTGAGTCATTTACATCTCTCTTTTTCCTTAAGAGCTTTTCGCTTTAGGGTATGTGCATTCACCAGAGAGAGAAAGCAAGAAATCACCCTACCCACACCTTGGGAGATAGCCACACCACAATCCCTTCTCTTCCATCCTCCTCTTGGGAGTTTAGGCACGCATGGACACGCGCCTGGTGTGAGGTTCAAGCTGCTGGGTCTGGGACTTGAACTGTAGTCGACTATGTGGGAGTTCAGCAACATAATCATGAAGCATTCTGCTGGAATGGACACGCGCCTGGTGTGAGGTTCAAGCTGCTGGGTCTGGGACTTGAACTGTAGTCGACTATGTGGGAGTTCAGCAACATAATCATTATGCATTCTGCTGGTTCCAAGTGCTTTATGTTTCTTTTTCTTTTTGGAGAAGTTTTTGCTATAGGGCACGTGTGCTCACCAGAAAGACAGAGAGAGACAGAGAGACAGAAAGCGAGAAACCATTTCCCAGGGGGATGGCCATGCCGCACATCCCTTCTCCTCCATTCTCCTCTCGGGATCCTGGGGGCACGAATGCACACGCGTCCGGCGTGAGTGTAAGCCATCAGCTCCAGGACTCAAACCATGGTCGACTACATGGGAGTTCAACGACATAGCCATTAATGCTAACTGCTGGTCCCTACATCTCTTTTTAAAATTAATTAATTTTTTTAATTTTAAATTTATTTATTTTATATTCATTCATACCTTTGCTCTATTTAAAACCAGATAAGATAATCATGAAAATAGAGAAGAGAGGGTTTTTATTTTATGTAAATGTTTTCATAGGAAATGTAAATTCTATCTTAGATTTGCATTCAAATCGTGTCTCAGATAACTATGGGCTATGTGATATTTGTGTTATTAAGACCTGACTTGGTTTCCTGATCTATAGATACTTTCTATCAATAGTAGTGACATTTTGGTGGTTTCAAATTTGGCCCTTTTTCTTCATTTTGAATATTTTCAAATCTATTAAAGAATTCATAGTATAATTGAGTCCTCTAACAAAATCATGTCACACCCAAGAATTTTTACAGTGACACAATAATATTAACTACTATACAGTCTAAATCAACACTTGTCAATTGTCCAGTTGTTTGTTATACACAGTGGTGTTCTGGCAAAAGGTAACAACCAATTCTGCAGAGGAGGTACCCATTTCTCTGATGCAAACACCCTATCATGGTGGATAAACTACCAACTCCAACTGGAGTCAATGAATGCTGAGTGAAGAAGCAGCCTAGGACAAGCTTGTATGAGTGGGCTATAGCATGTCACGGCTACTGATTTTCCTGTCCACAATCCAATGGAGGATATTGCTTTTTTTTTAATTTTTTTTTTTTAATGCTAAGACAATTCACAAAACAGCTACATTTACAACTATCTCTTCACAAAAGAGGGCATTTCAGCTCAAAACTGGAAACAAAAAAACATAACATTAAAAGATAACTTTTTAAATCAAATATAGTCATCTTAATGAAAGCATCACTATCTTGTCCTTCTTTTTCTTTTTGTTGTAGACCAGTGATAACAGGCCTGCATTGATACAATGATTGTAACCTACTGGTTAAGTATTAAGCAAAAACAAAGCAAAAGCAAATATGAAATTATGACAAATTTTAAAGGTAATTTTCTTTCTTCCACCCCCCTTTTTTTTAACTAGACAGAACATAAAAGCAAATACTGGGGTCCCTCTTTTACACATTTTACAGACTTCTTTCCAGGTTGGCATCTACTTCAATCTTGATCATATAGTCATAAAGGTTTATGATGGGCTTATCCAAATTTTCAGAGGTGGTGACATTTTCTGCCTTATACTTCTAGGCAACAGTGAATGAGAAAAAGAAAATTAATTGTATCAAATGTGACTTAGTTGCTGTGAAAAAAACCTGAAACACATGACAGATATTTCGTTGAAAGTAGTGAAACCTTTCAGCTTAGTAAATATTAACTGAGCATCTAGTACATGGCAGCTCTGTAGATTTCGTTGCTCACCTAACAACAATGGATAGTCTCTACATTTTTAATAACTTCCCATTACTCAAAAACCAGAATTCTCAAAAATTACAAAAAACTCAAGGTTGTCTTCCATGAGGAAATACCAAAAGTAACTCTAAAAAGTAACAAAACATTGTAATCTTCAACCACAACTGCATTGCACAAAATTAATGGTGAAAAATAAATTATTTTCAAAAAAATTATCTCAGTATTTGGGTGTCTTGGGACTTTAAGATATACTTACGCCACTCTCCGCCCCATCTGGATACCAGGTTCAAGCCTATGGCCTTGCCTGATGCCAGGGTGCCTGTGGTTGCAGGACCCATGGCTCATCCCCTCCCCTACCTGCCTTGGAACTCTTAGGACTTCAGTGTTTTGGATAGTGTGTGGCGCATGTTGTGCACCATGCAATCTTTTCTATGCTCCTGAGGTGAAGCTCAGAAGCTCAGTTTCAGGTGTATCTTTTCTTTAGAAACATTGAGGACTTTGGGTCACCCAGGACCAGAGACAATGCAGGGTGCTAGTGAGCAACAGGGAGGCAGAGTAGTAGAGAGATCACTGATTTTCTACTCCTGCATATTTTTGAATGCTCAGAGATACCTACAATAATTTAGAAAGGAACGTATGGATAACCAGACGACTAGGAACAATCTCAGAGGCACAAGAAGGTTGAGCAGCCAAGAAAATGTCTCTCCCCCAAGGGAAAAACGTCATTTCCACATCATCCACAGACAGCACAATGGAAGTCAAGGAAATATCAGATAAACAATTCAGAATATTTGTAGTGACCAAACTAAATGAGATGCAAATGAGACAACGAGCTCCAGGAGATGAGGAAGTCCTCTTATGATTTGACAGAAGAAATAGACACCATAAAAAAAAAGAATTGTTAGTGATGAAGGAATGTGATACAGGAAATTAAAATTTCCCTCAAAAGTATTAAAAGTAGATTAGATCATGCAGAAAATTGAAATCTTGAATGTAGAAGACAAAACCTCTGACCTAGGATAAAGTATCAAAAAGACAGAGAAAACAACCAAGAAAAATGACGATAATATACGAGAAATACTACATCCAACATCCAGATAATTGGTATCCCAGGAGAGGAAGAAAATAATAAGGGCGTTGATAATTTATTTCATGAGATCCTGGAAAAAAACTTTCCAAACCTAGAGAGGGATTCAAATATCCAGACCCAAGAAATACATAGGACCCCAAATAGAATCAACCCAAGAAGATCCTTGCCAAGGCACATCATAGCCAGACTGACCAAAACCACAAAGAGAAGACACTAAAATTGGCAAGAGGAAAACCTCAAGTTACTTACAAAAGTTATCCCATCAGGTTAACATTGGGCTTCTTGCCAGAAACAATGCAGGCAAGGAAAGAATGGGGAAATATAGTCAAAGTGTTAAATGAAAAACAATTTCAACCAATAATACTATACTTGGCGAGATTATCCCTTATATGGGAAAAAAAAGATAAAAACATTCTCAGATAAACAAAACCTGAAAGAATTTACCAACTCCAGACCAGTTCTTCAAGAGGTTCTGAAGGGAGTGCTATACCAGGAATACTTAAAAGTCAGATGGACAGTTATAAGAGAACAAAAACAAGCAAGAAAATGGCTTGCTTAATGACAGGAACAGGTCAGGAAATTTCAATAATAACATCGAATGTTAATGGATTAAATTCTCCAATAAAGACACAGATTGGCTGAATGGATATAAAAACAGAAACCCTCTTGTCGCCTACGAGAAACAAATGACATACATAGACTAAAAGTGAAGGGCTGGAGAAAGATATTCCATGCAAATGGAAATCAAAAAAGGGCAGAAGTTGCAATATTGATTTCAGGCAAAATAGGCTTTAAGACAAAGACTGTAAAAAGAGACAAAGAAGGACGTTATATAATAGTAAATAGGCTAATTCATCAAGAAGACATAACGCTTTTAAATATTTATGCAGCCAACTCAGGAGCACCTAAATACATGAAGGAAAGACTGCTGGAACTAAAAGGAGAAATAGGGTGCAACACCATAATTGTTGGGGATCTCTTCACCCAATTATCTCCTATAGACAGATCTTCTAGACAAAAAATAAACAGAGAGATACAGGACCTAAATGACACTATAAATAGAATGGGCTTGACAGACATCTATAGAACTTTCCACCCTAAGACCACAAAATATATATTTTTCTTATCCCGGCATGGAACCTTTTCAAAGATTGACCATATGACAGGACACAAATAAAGCCTTTACAGATTCAAAGGCATAGAAACTATATCCAGTATCTTCTCTGACCATGATAGAATTAAACTCGATATTAGTTTCAAGAAACACCCTCAAAATACACAAACACATGGAAACTGAACAACCTACATCTGAATGACTTAACTACTGAAGAAATTAAGTCTGAAATTAAAAAAAAAAATTTATGGGAACAAATGATAATGAGTATATGAGTTTCCATAATCTATGGGACACAGCAAAAGCAGTCTAAGAGGGAAATTCATAGCAATTAGTGCACAAAAGAAAATCAGGGAACTGGAAAAACAACAACAAAAACACCCAAAAAATGCCAGGTGAAAAGAAATCATAAAGATTCAAACAGAAATAAATGAAATAGAAAATAAACAAACTATACAGAAAATAAATTAAAGCAAAAGCTGGTTCTTTGAAAAGGTTAACAAGATTGACACACCATTAGTTAGACTGATAACGAAGAAAGAAACCAGATAAATCAAATACGTAATGAGACAGGCAACATTACAACAAACACGATAGAAATACAAAACACCATTAGAGGATACTATGAGTGACTATATGCCAACAAACAAGAGAACATGGAGGAGATGGACAAATTCCTAGGTACATATGATCTACCAAGATTGAATTAGGAGGACATAGAAAACCTGAATATACCCATAACAAGTCATGAGATTGAATTGCTAATAAATAACTTCTTGACAAAGAAAAGCTCAGGTCCTGATGGCTTCACTTCTGAATTCTACAAAACTTTTTTTAATAGACCACAAATTAGTTTATTTTTAACACCCATCATGCCATGAATTCATAGGGAATAGGTTCCAGTAGCTCAGGCTCCTTTCCATTGGTTCTCACAAAATGTGCTTCTCTGGGTGGAACAGGCTGGTGCTTTAGTTGAACCCAGGTACCTTTCTCTTTGGCTTTCTTCTTTTCCTGGTCATTTTCTTTCACATGTTTTAGGAAGCTATCTCTGCTCTTAGAATGTTTAATATGCTAAATACGCACATTAATTCTCTTGGCAAGAATCTTGCCCTTAACTTGTTTGTTCACAACAATGCCAACAGCATGCTGGGTAACATTGTAGACTCTTCCAGTCTTGCTATGGTAACATTTGTGGGGCATTCTTTTTTGAACAGTACCCATTCCCTTAATGTCTACAATATCCCTTTCTTGTAGATTCCCATATATGTTGCCAAAGGAACCACTCCTTGTTTTCTAAAAGGCCTAGAGAACATACATGGGTGCCTCTCCCCTTTCCCTTTGTGTTAGTCATTTTGGTTAATTACTGGAAGATGGTAGTTCTGGCCAAAAGGCTGGATTCTATAAAACTTTTAAAGAAGAGTTAACCCTTATCCTACTCAAATTATTTCTAAGGATCCAAAAGGAAGGACATCTTCCAAATTCAGCACCTGGCGTGAGTTTTAAGCCACTGGGTCTGGGACGCGAACCATGGTCGACTACATGGGAATCCAGCAACATAGCCATTATGCTAACTGCTGGTCCCAGCCTCCATCATCTTATTCCCAAAACAGATAAGGACATGACCAAAAAGAAAACTACAGACCAAGATCTCTGATCAATACAGATGCAAAAACTCTCAACAAGATAGTTGCAAATCGTATCCAACAAGATATAGCAATGATTACTCATCATGACCAGGTAGGCTTTGTTCCAGGGATGCAAGATTGGTTCAACATATGCAAGACCATCAATATAATACACTATATTAACAGAAAGAAAGATAAAAACCATATGATCATTTCAATTGATGCAGAGAAAGCATTTGACAAAATACAATATCCTTTCAGATTAAGACTTTCAGTAAGACTGGTATAGAAGAATTGTTTCTCAACATAACAAAAGCCATATATGAAATGCATATAGTTAATATTATACTGAATGGGGAAAAAAACTGGTACTAGACAAGGCTGTACACCTTCTCCACTGCTTTTTAATATAGTGCTGGAAGTCTCAGCCAATTCAATCAGAAAAGGGAACAATATAAAATGTATTCAAATAGGCAAAGAAGAGTTGAAAATATCTTTATTTGCATATGACATTATGGTATACTTAGAAGACCCAAAGGTTTCCATGAAAAAAAAAAAAAAACTTCTTGAATAATAAATAAATACAGTAAAGTGGCAGGATACAAAAATCTATATCCAAAAATCAATAGCATTTCTATATAGGAATAAGTTGAACATAGCAGACCTGAAGAAAGGAGTCCTTTTTACCACAGCCACAAAATGTGTAAGACACCCAGGGATAAACCTAAGAAAATCTAAGACCTTTACAAAGAAAACTATGAAAATCTTAAAAAGTATGCTGAAAATGACATAAAAAAGTGGAAGGGGAACCAGCAGTTAGTGTAATCGCTGTGTCGCTGGACTCCCACGTAGCCGACCGTGGTTTGAGTCCCGGACCCAGTGGCTTAAAACTCACACGGGGCGCGTGTGTGTGCGTGCCCAAGATCCCGAGAGGAGAATGGAGGAGAAAGGATTGCGGCATGACCATCCCCCCTGGGGGTGATTTCTTGCTTTCTGTCTCTATGTCTCTCTCTGTCTGTCTGGCGAGCACACGAGCCCTATAGCGAAAAAACCTCTCAAAAAAAAAAAATAAATAAAAAAGGAAATCAAAAAAAAAAGTGGAAGGACATTCCATGTTCCTGGATCAGAAGAATTAACATAATCAAAATGGCAAATTCTACTCAAATTAATCTACACATTTAATGCAATTTCAATCAAAATACCAGAAACATTCTTCACAAATCTAGAAAAGACAGTCATAGAATTTGTCTGGAATCATAAAAGACCTCATATTGCCAAAGCAATCCTGTGCAAGAAGAGTGGAAGGGGTGGCAGCTCACTCCTGATCCCAAAATATACTACAAAGCAATGATAATCAAAACAGCATGATACTAGCACAAAAACAGAGAAGTAAACCAATGGAATAGAATAGAGATCCCAGAAATAAACCCCCAAGTGGATAGCCAACTAATTTTTGACAAAGGATACCAATCCATTGGAAAAGGAAAACCTTTTTAGCAAATGGTGCTGGAAAAACAGGGTATCTACCTGCAGAAAGATGAAACTGAATGCCCTTCTTTCACCACTAACAAAAATCAACTCAAAATGGATCAAAGATCTGAACTAAAGATCTCAAACTATAAAACTACTGATGAAAAACACTGGAGAAACTCTGGGAGACACTGGGGTAGGCAAAGACTTCTGAAATAAGACTCCCAAAGCATGGGCAATAATCTCTGAAATAGACAAGTGGGACTATAAAAGATTAAGAAGTTTTTGCATAGCAAAAGACACTATAATTAGTGTGAATCGACAACCCTTAGAATAGGAGAATGTTTGTAAAATATGACTCAGACAAGGGACTGATAACCAGAATACACAGCGAACTCAAGTGGCTTACCTGAAAAAAAAAAAATGTCTAACCCAATTAAAACATGAGAAAGCTAGCTGAACAAAAATCTCTCTAAGGAAGACATACGAACAGTGGAAAAGCATATGAAGAAATGCTTAGCATCTATCATCATAAGAGAGATGTAGATTAAAACAATAATGAGATGCCACCTAACCCCTGTCAGAGTGGCTAAGATTAAAAAAACAAAAAGTTGTAAATGTTGACAGGAATGTGGTAAAAGAACTCTCCTACACTGTTGGTGGGAATGTAAATTGGTTTGGCCACTGTGGAAAACAATATGGAGGTTCCTCAAAGCAATCCCACTTCTGGGTATCTACCCAAAGGACAGGAGAATGCTCAGCCAGAAAAGTGCTTGCACATCAATGTTTACTGCAGCATTATCCACAATTGTTAAGACATGGAACCAACCCAAATGTCCACAAATAGATGAATGGATGGAAAAAAGTGTGGCATATATACTCTATGGATACGATTCAGCCATTAAAAACCAACAAGACTCTGGCATTTGATAGAAAGTGGTTAAATATAGAAGATGTACCGCTGAGTGAAGCAAGCTAGGATATGAAAGAAAGATATTGTATGTATCCACTTAATATATACAGACTATCTGGACTTTATGGTAGAGACTGAAATATGGGACGGCATAAAAGCAGTGAAAATAGTTAATGGATGCTAAAGACAGTGTTGAACGGAGTTGGAGAGAAGGGAAGAGTATAGAGAAGGATAGCAAGAGAATGAATAGAGAGGCATGGCATTAGTGAGACATAAAAATGGTTTATCAGGGCCAGCAGGTGGCGTGGTAGTTAAAGGTGCTGGACTCCCACATGGCCGACTACGGTTCAAGTCCTGGACCTGGCAGCTTGATTTCTCACTTTGCCCTTCTCTCTCATTCTCTTTCTGGTCAAATAATAAATAAATAAATAAATAAAAATATTTTTTTTAAAAAAATGGTTTATCACCTGCTGATGATAACATGTATGGTATTCTCAACTAAACTGGCCTAAGAAGTATTTGGGTAAATTCTCTTTATAAGCCAAATGATATATATAGTGACTGAATGCTGAAAAAAATAATGAGAATAAACAATAATAATCTGAAAAAAATGATGAAAAGCTATTTGATGATGACGATGTGCATAGTAATGTCTTTGTCTTGACTGATATACATGGTAATCATGCTGGAAAAAGAAACGTAATATACTGTAAAGATACGTGTGATTAAATATATTATAAAAAATTATGATAATAAATAAAATTAAGAAAAAATTATCTCAGTATTTGGAGTAGCAGAAGGATCCAGATTCTTTCAGATCCTACATTTAGTACTAAGGGTAATTTTTGGTCAGATTAACCTGATAGACCTGAAAGTATGAAACGTTCACCATTCAATAATGACTGTTTCTCTTTTCTTTGAGAAAAATAATACAGGATTACTAGAACATACCTATTGTGTATTGTGCTTAAGTCACAGATCAGTGAGCCTTTCCTCCAGGAGGAAAAATATGACAGGTATGTGTACATACATGCTGAAAATTCTAATAAGATGAAGAAATGAAGGTGAAGGGATTGTGGCATGACCACAATCAACAGCGGGGTGCTTTGTCCTTCCCCCTCCCTCTCTTTCTGCGTCTCTCTAGCCAGTGCTCACACGCTTTGACCAAAAAGAAAAAAGGACCACAGTTCGCATAGTTATAATTGGATGTCAATATGGCCCACCACTTTTGACCCGAAATGAAATAAAAGAAAGTCAGAACATCTCGTCCCTTTCCCTTTGAAGTATCTGCCACATTTTGTGAATAGAAAGTGGGAATCTGAAATCACCATGAATTTTCTAAATATTGTTAAAAAGGTTATCTTAGGTAAAGAATGAAGGAGATAGTCTTTGTCCATCAGGGTCCTGCTACATTGGCTTACTACAAATGATGAAAACTAGGCCTGTAACAAAGAAGGGAGTTATCTCTGATTTGGCAATACTCTAAAACACATATGATCACTTCTTGATAAATTATGGCATTGAATGACAATCATAAGTTGCATTCTTACTAGTCAAAGAATTAATATAAGATCCAAACTTACTTATCAGTAGGTTCACCTTTAGCTAGTTTGTCGGCACAAGCAATAGCTCCTTTGTGAAGCCAGCAGTATGTATCCACAGCTACTACTTGTCCCTTGTACTTCCTCACATGGATGGGTTCAGAAGCTTCTTTGATAAATTGTAGCAATCCTTGTATCCCCATGGTGCCAAATTAACTACATGATATAAAAGTAGAAAAGGACAAGAACATTTTAAAAAATACACTTTTAGTAAAAGTTCTAAGAAAATAACAAAGAGGTTTGGAACTGATAAATTGTTAGTTTAGATATTTGAGCATCACTGTTCTTTCTTTTTTTGGAGAGGTTTTTGCTATAGGGCACATGCGCTCACCAGAAAGACAGAGACAGAGAGACAGAAAGTGAGAAATCACCCTCCAGGGAGGATGGCCACACCACAATCCTTTCTCCTCTCCAGATGTTGGGTATGCACGCACACATGCCCAGCGTTGAGTTTAAGTCACTGGGTCCGGGACTCAAACCGCGGTCGACTACACAGGAGCCCGGCGAAGTAGCCATTATGCCATCTGCTGGTCCCTGTTCTTTAAATTTTTAACTAGGCTTCATGTCAAAACATTTCCAGTCTAGAATTCACATGAATCGCTAATACTACCTTTAATGTCACTTGACAGTAGCTTAATGTTTATTTTTTAAAAAGTACTCTCACACTTGGAATCCTAACATGTTCCAAGCTCTTAACATAGTTCTAGGCATAAAGTAGGTGCTGAAAGAGTAGTCACGATTTCATCACTGGGTTTACACCATCAAGTGTACCTATACAAACGTAGATGGTACGCCTACTTACTTACTTAGGCTATATAGTATAGCCTATATACTCCTTATGGGACCACCACTATATATGCAGTCTGTTATGGACTGAAATGTGATTATGTGACGCATGGAAGTCTCTCCTCTCTACAAAAAGGAACTGTTAAAATCTGTATTTGCACGTTGTGGCATCACATTTGCCTCTGTAAGAGGTATTACATTACTTCACACAGAAGTGGAAATTTGGAGAAAAATTTGCAGAAAAGAAAGCACTTCAATTTAAAAATAAAATTAATGAAATAAACAGAATTATACATATGGATCTGTACTTTTTCTGTTTTGGAGAGGTTTTTGCTATAGGGCACATGCGCTCGCCAGAGAGACAGAGACAGAAAGTGAAAAATCACCCCTCAAGTGGGGATAGCCACGCCGCAATCCCTTCTCCATTCTCTTCTCGGAATCTTGGGCATGCACGCACATGCACCCGGTGTGAGTTTAAGCCACCAGGTCCGGGACATGAACCACAGTCAACTACATGGGAGTCCAGCAACATAGCCATTACGCTAACTGCTGGTCTTGGATCTGTACTTTTTAAAGACAGAAATTCACTGCTACCAGAATGCGTTATTCCAAGCAATGAACATTCTAGAATATGCAGTGTGGTACCTAGGGACAACTCCAACAGCTTTTCTGAAAGCTATCTAGAGGAATGTGAAACTGTGCCTGTTGTATAAATACACTTCCCACCCACGTCCACTTATCCTAGGCTGCAGCCCCCAAACCTTTTAACAAATTCTAGAGCTGCCACCACTATTCGGTCCACTCCTTATGTCAAAATGTAAAACACAGTAATGGGCAAGAGCAGTTGCTCAGCATTTCATAATATAAATTGCACCAACTAAACATTACATTTGGAAGGAAGGGAAAAAAGAAAACACAGAATCTGAAGTCAGCCTTGGTTCAGTCAGCCACAGCAGTACAGCAGTAACACAGCAACCTAAGATGCCGAGGTGGTAAGGTAAAGCCTGGGGCATACATCTCAGTCTTTCTGCACAAGCTAGGCCTGCCTCAAGGGCTCAGGATCCTGACTGGCTGAAGTTTGGGGTTAGATTAAGGCATGGAGACCTTGTTGGGGGTGCTTGTCTGTTTCTGTCTCTCTCTTGTGGAAAAAGTACATTAAAAATCACCACTAACAAAAGGTCAGCCTTACCCTGTTGACCCTGTATCAGAGCTCTGATGTTCTACTCCAACAATTCTCAAATTTCAGAAGTTCGCAGATTCTGCACTTCACTCCCAGTGTCTGTGACTTGCTGCTTCTGGAGTGATGCAAGGGGCTCTGAATTTTAAACAAGGCAGGCAATCTGGATGCAAATGGTCCTCAAGCCACAGTCTGAGGAAAAATGATCAGTGTCCCACCTCTCAGAGACAATGTCTAAAAATACTGTTCACTCTGAGGAAAATGGACATAATATGTATTTCTTCTGGGCCAGGTAAATATCCTCGGATAAATATTTGCCCTTTAGCGTAGTAAGAATGACTGAGTGCCATATGGCACAAGCCATCTCAAGGTGATCACCTGTGGCACCCAGGTAACAGCAGCAGCAGCTTCACCACTTTAAGCCTCTTGGCTCACGGGGATGTGCAGGCGTAGCCCGCAAGCTCATTCCAAATGGCAAGTTTCCTTTGGCCTGCACAACATTAAGGAAAAAAATTACTGGTCAACTTTTAAAAGTGGGGAGATTGCGTGTGAAAACAGGACTGCTACCTTCTGCGGAAACGTGGCAAGTCCTACAACCCTGTGCCTACTCCTGCCCGGAATCTTCCGCAGTGAGTGCGGACTTCTCGGTTCTCTGAACGGCGGTCCCAGCCCAGCGAGACGTTCCCTCGGAACCGACTCGGACCGAGGGCTTTGGTGTAGGGTCGGTCGGGAAGACCAGGCGGACCCTGTCCTTCCCTTCCCGCCGCTGACACAGAGATCGACCCCCGGGAACCAGCGGACACCCACCCGCTAGCCCGCTCCCCTCACTTTCTGGCATGAGCTCGTCCCCTCGAGGGTAACTAGAAGGGGACTCCGTAACTAGCCCGCCCCCCACTCCCCCCGGCCAGAGCCAGAGAAAACGGCGGCACTGCAGACAGGCGAGCCAGCTGCAGCCACGCGCGAAGGGCTGGACCTTTCAATTTGCGCGGGATCGCCCGACGCCCCTCCCAGCGGATGTGACGTCCACGCGCACCCCACGACGCCAGCTCGGCTTCCCGGAGCCCTGAGCATTCCGAGCCGAGTTCCCGCCCCGCTGGGCGTGACTGCGACCCACTGCCCTGCGACTCTGGCCGGC